AATTTGGTTCCTCTGTCAGTACAAGTGGGGGAAAAAGTGATGGCTAATCAAATTCTCAGGTTTTAGTATTATTGAGACTTTCTTTTTCAGTTGTTGTAGTTAATTAATTCCACATAAGTTTTAGGAATAGGTAAAGTTTGCCGGGCACAGTGGCCCATGCCTGTAATCCCAGCAGCTCAGGAGACTGAGGCAGGAGGACTGCAAGTTCAAAACCAGCCTCGGCAACTTAATGAAGCGTTAATCAACTTTGCAAGACCCTATCTCTAACTTAATCTTTTAAAAAAGTGCTGGGGATGTGTCTCAGAGGTTAAGTGTCCTAGGTTCAATCCCCTATACCAAAAAATAAATAGATAAATACATAAGTAAAGTTTTATACATTGCTGCTAAGAGGACATATGAAATATCTTTACCACCTGAGAACATGGACATGGATGTGATCTATAAACATGTCATTTTTCACTAGCATGTCTCTAATTATTAGCACATCTTGTCATGTGCTTAATGGCATATAAATTTACTTTCCTGTGAACTTATGTATTTATTTTTCTGATGACCACTCTATAGCCTTCGTCCATTTTTGTTTAGTTAATTGCATTATTTTTTATTAATTTTTAAGTCCACTTCAGATATTGCAATGTGGACCCTTTTTGTTATACTGTGTAGTACAGTAAATATGTTCTCCTACTCAATGACTCTTTGTTGACAGTGTCTTTGGCTGAACAAAAGTATTTTTTGTTTTGTTGTTGTTGTTTTTATAGACAGACACAATACCTTTATTTATTTTTTATGTGGTGCTGAGAATCAAACCCAGGCCTCACACATTCTAGGCAAGCACTCTACCACTGAGCCACAACCCCAGCCCTAAACAAAAGTTTTATAAATTCTATTTGTCAGACTTTCTCCTAATGGTTTCTAGGTTTAACATCATGCTTCTAAAATCTGTCTTTGTCATATTGCTTTGCATAAAGATTACTTGTTTGTTTTCATAATTTTCTGGTAGGTTTTTAAATTTTAAGTATAGAAATTAGAATTATATGATGCAATTTTCTGTATAACATTAGAGAACTTTGAGTGTCTTTACATAGACAGTAGGGGATCCATTTTTCCCCCAAATGGATGCACAACTGGTTTAACTCATTATTACGTCTTTGATATCATCTCCACCTATTTCAACTGCCGTCTTTGCAATATACTGAGTTCAAACACTTATCTGAATCTGTTTTTCGTGTCCTTATTTTATTCCACTGATTTATCTGTTCCTTTACCAACACCACACAGTTTTTAATCTCTGTTGCTATAAAGTTTAGTGGAGATCTGATGGAGGGCATTCAACCTCTTGTCTTTTTATTTTTATTTTCAAACTGTTCTGAACCCCCACCTTCTAACCTGTCTTTGACATCCACTTTTCATGTGGATTCTCAAACTTAAGTGTTCCTCTCAAGTACCACTGATACTAGTCCTTATCAATCACCTGTTTAGACTATTGCAATATTGCAAGCACATTAACTGGTTTTCTTTCCCTAGTTTGGCCCACTCTCCAAGCTCTCTTCATAAGGAAATCTGATTATTTTGAGACTTTTAACACCTTATTGAGCTTATAATACGCATACCATACATTTCACCCATTTCAAATACACAATTCAAGGGCTGGGGCTGGAGCTCAGTGGTAGCACACTTGCCTGGCATGTGCGAGGCACTGGGTTCGATTCTCACCACCGCATATAAAGAAATAAAATAAAGTCTATCAAGAACTAAAAAATATATATTTTAAAAAATCAAATACACAGTTCAATAAGATTAATATATTCAAGTTTTACATCCATCACCACTGTCAATTTCATGACAATTTCATCACCTCCGAAAGAAACACCAGATCCTATGGATAAACACCCCTCTACCACCATCTTCCCCATCGATTCTCCACCTAGATCTATGCAACCATTAAGGAACTTTTTGCCTTTTCAGGATTTGTCTTTGATGGACATTTCATAGAGGTGAAATTATATAATATGTGGTCTTTAGTGACTGGCTTCTTTTACTTAGCCTGATTTTTCCAAAGTTTATTCTATCTGTAGCCTGTGCCAATATTTTGTTCCTTTTCTTGTCTAAATAATATGCAATTGTAGCTCATTTTATTAGTTCATCAATTTATGGACATTTGTATTATTTCCATCTTTAACTTATATATAAAGTGCTTCTGTGAACTTCATGTACACTTTTAAATGAATTTGTTACATCCCAATAAATAACTCTATGGGGATTTTTCTTGTAATTGCATTGAATTTATGTATCAATTTTGGAGAAATTTAAAGGTTTACAAAATTGAGCATTTCCACCCAGGAAAGTTGTTTGTTTGTGTTTTTGTTTGTTGCATGACTTGGTCCTTATTTATTGCCTTCCATAAAGTTTTATCATTTTCTTCATAAAATTCTGGTATATTTCTTTCTTGTAATTTCTATTTATTTTACATTTTTTCAATTTGAGTGAGATTTTTAAGTTAAATTTTCTATTTGGTGGTGGAAGTATATACAAAAGATGCTCGTTTATTTTGACTTTGTATCTAGCTACCTCAAGGATCTCTCTTATTAATTTTCCTGATTTTTTCTGTCAATTTTCTTTTATCTTTCAGATAACTAATTATATAATCTGTAAATATTAAAAATTTGTCTTCCTTTGCAATATTTGTATTTCCTATTTCTTTTTCATTTTCAAATACCATTAGCTAGATTCCAAGGTCAATGATAAAAAATAATATCTGTATTGAATATGCATCTCTTTTCTTATCAACCTTAATTCTTTTAGATGCAATCAATATTTCAGTCAAAATTTTAAAATTTTAATAAATCACTGAACATGGTGACATAATACCTGTAAGTGCAGCTACCATGGAGAGTAAAGCAGGAGGATGACAAATTCAAGGCCAGTCTGGGCAATTTTTAGTGAGACCCTGTCCCAAAACTAAAATAAAAAGGGCTGGAGGGGCTGGGATTGTAGCTCAGTGGCAGAGCGCTTGCCTTGCATGTATGAGGCACTGGGTTCGATCCTCAGCACCACATAAAAGTAAATAAATAAAGGTATTGTGTACATGTATAAAAAAAAAATTTTAAAAAGTGGGGGGTATGTATCTCAGTGATAGAGCTCTTGCCTAGCATGTGTGAAACCCTGGGTTCAATCCCCAGCACCATATATACCAATAATCATCGTCATCATCATCATTATCATCAGGTTGGGGATATAGCTCAGTTGGTAGAGTGCTTGCCTCGCATATACAAGGCCCTGGGTTCAATCCCCAGCACCATAATAATAATAATAACAACAATAATAAAGAAAAGTCACCCTGATTCCATGTAAAAACGAAATTTAAAACAAAACATAAATTAAATTATGTACTTATATATATTTATTTCTAAATATATATTTCTATATATTTATAGAAAAAATGAGGAACATATATATATATCAAACTGCTATGAATAGCTAGTTCTCTAAAGGATGTGGAATTTGAGAGGCAGGAACAGGAAGAAAGAGACCCATTTTCTGCTTTGTGTACTGCTGTATAGGCTGCTATTTTCAATGAGCATTTCCTACTTTTATAGTCTTTGGAATAAATCCAAAGAATACAAAGTATGTAAAGACTTGTCACTGTATATCAAGACTCAGAGATGTGTGCATTTTTAATGGCTAAGATTTCAATTCTGTTCACTAATTTCAATCTCAATTATATGAAAGAGTTGAAGATGAGATAGATAAGCAGCAAGGTAGGTAGATAGATAAGAGAGAAAGAGAGTAAATGGATCCACAAATGTAGGTCCAGACCTCTGGTTGTTACTAGAGAGTCCAAGAGCAAAAAAGAGGACCCCAAGAAAGAAATAGATGCAAAGGAAATCTTGTACCTTACACAATTCAGAATTCTGGTCAGGAGAGTTATTGCTATTATCTCCATCCTTAGGATGCCTAAGACCATGTGAATAGGAAGATTGTTTCATGGTTGAAAGAATAAGAGAATTTTAATTGCTCTCAATATCATCAGATCTTAATGGTTTCCTGTCAAAAAGTTTCTTTTGTGAAGAAAGAGAAACTTTCACACACTATTATTGGAAGGTAAACTAGTATAGCTATTATGGAAAACAGTATGGAGTTTCCTCAAAACACTAGAAATAAAACTACCGTATGACCCAGTAAATCCTACTACTGGGTATATATCCAAAGGAAATGAAATTGGTACGGTGAAGAGACATCTTCATTCCTCTAGTTATTGTGGCACTATTCACAATAGCCAAGATATGAAGTCAACGTAGGTGTCCATCAATGGATGAATAGATAAAGAAAATAGAACATTATTCATCCATAAAAAAGGATGAAGTCCTATCATTTATGGCAACCTGGATGGAACTTGAGGGGATTGTGTTAAGTGAAATACGCGTATATATATAAGCTAAAAAAGTTAATTTCATAGAAATAGATAACAGAATAGTGGTTGCCAGAGGCAAGGAAAGGGTAGTGAGTATGAAGAGAGGATGGTTAACAGATACAATGGTGCAGCTGGATAGGATAAATAACTTCTAATGCTCTATAGCACAGTAGAGTAACTATGATTGACAACAATTAATTGTGAATTTTAAATAACTAGTAGAGGGGTCTCTGAATGTTCCCAATGCAAAGAAATTATAAATATTTGACATGATAGATATATCAATTATCCTTATCTGATCATTACCTATTGTATACATACATTGAAATATCATCCCATACCCCCTAAATATGTAAAATTACTATATGTTTATTAAAATTTTTAGTTAAAATTAAAAAATGAAATAGGAAAACAAAAATATGAACCTAGGGGGGAAAAAAGATCTTCCTTCTGAGACACCATGGGAAGTCACAGGGCAACCTTAGGAGGACTTCTGCATTATTTAGGGTGATACATAAATAATGGTAGCTTTGCATCTTATCACGGCCTACATTTTGGAATATACACCTCTTTCATTGTTCTCTTCCAGGATTTCCAATGAACATTCACCCAAACTCCAGATCCGGAGTCACAGCTACCTGAGGGCAGTAAGTGAAGTGTCAATCAACCGAAGCCTGGACAGCCTAGACCCTGCAGGCCTGCTCACATCACCAAAGTTCCGCTCCCGGAATGAGAGCTACATGCGAGCTATGAGCACCATTAGCCAGGTAAGCCCCATCAGATCAGTGGTGGGCAGGAGCCTTTAGCTGCAGAGGGTTAGTGAAAACTGAGAGGACGGGAGATGGAAATATGGTCACTCCCCACGGAGATCATTGATGAATCAGACTGGTGGTCCAGTCACATGCTATAAAGAGTATGCACATGTTCAGGATAGATGTTACTGACAAAATCAAAGCAGTGTCTAATCATAAAAGTACTAAAGTATGGAGCAGGTCACAAGACAGGACTCAGGCACACAGAAGCAACATGTGACCCATTTACCTCAACTGGGTCCTGAGGGGTATTGTGTCTTGGTAATGAGAGTCCCACTATGATGAATTGGTAACCAAGACTCAATGATGAAGACTCAATACAGATGACTGAATACTGCATCCAAACTATTGAGCTAAAACTCTTGAGGTTCTCCCATCAAAAGCCTCAGTATTTGAAAAGACTGAACTCGGCTCAGGGGAAAAAAAAACCTGGGACTCAGAGGAATTGATCCTGCAGTTTTCAGGGGCCACCAGAGGAACAGAAAGTGCCTTGAGGCTCCCTCTGGGAGGGCATAAAGAAGGGTATTCTTGTTTTGTTTTTTGTCTTGTTTTGTTTGTGGTGCTGGGGATTGAATTCAGGACTTTGCATATGCTCTGAGCAAGTGTTCTACCATTGAACTAGCTCAAGAAGAATATTTTTTTTAATGATCTTAGACTAGGCTCTGTATATAAATTCACAGTACAATTTTTAAAAATAAGCACTGTACAGCTGGACCCAGTGGTGCACACCTATAATCCTAGCAAATAGAAAAGCTGAGCCAGGAGGATCTCAAGTTTGAGAACAGCCTCAATAATTTAACAAGGTTCTGAATACCTTAAGACCCTGTCTCAAAATAAAAATATAAAAAGAACTAGAAATGTAGCTCAGTAGTAAAGCAGCCGTGGTTTCAACTCCTAGTACCAAAAAACAAAAAAATAATAATAATAACAAACACCCTACCATTAATTCAGCCAATATTGTTTGAGCAAAACACTGGGCCAGATTTTGCAAGTTATCCAAGGATGAGCGTACATAATACTCAGAGGTTGACTGCCTAATGGAGGGCATATAAAAAACATGAATGTTCCATAACAAACATTATCTTCTTGACCACCACAAAAACACTCTTCCTTCCTTCCTTCCTTCCTTCCTTCCTTCCTTCCTTCCTTCCTTCCTTTCTTTCTTTCAAAAACACTCTTGAGTAAGAGACACTTTTTGTTAGGAACTCCCATGCCAATTGCTTTATATTTTTATAAATAGTAGTCCTTAGAAACATACCTGTAAGATATGTAGGTTTAAATGGGACTTTCCCTGGGGCCATAAAATTGGCCACTAGATCCCAAAGCTAACAAAAAGATGGTAAGGACCCAGGAGCAAGCTTCTAGGAATGGGGTCTAGGAAATCACGTTATAATAAATATTCAAAGTGATTCTAATAGCATTGCGATTTGATCTGAACTTTGGAAAATACTAACCTAAAGCATATTCAGGAAATAGTGAGTGCTTTAGTTTTGCTGGAGCTTGTAATAATTGTAGAGACAGCACTGGGAGATCTATTCTGAAAATTGTTCTGGACACTTTTTTTTATGGATGGCTTTATATGCCTGGTCCAGAGAACTGGACTTTATTCACTTTAAAAAAAAAAAAACAGAAATGAATTGGCCTTTAATAATGAAGACTAATAAAACATCAGCTTTTAAACAGGTAATGGGTATTATAAGAACTTTTATGTGGGATCATTAATCTGGGAACAAAATGTAGGAAAGATAGAGGATGAAAGGCTAGAGACAGGGGCTGGTTTGGAAGACATTGTGATCATCACAGTGAAAATTAGTGCTGATGTTGGTGAAGTGGTGATGGTATAGTGTGGTGGTATTGATGATGGTGATAACAATGTTGATGGTGATGATGGTGATGGTGATAACACTTGTGGTAGTGATGGTGGTTGTGGAAATGGTGGTGGTGGTAGTATTGATAATTACAGTGGTAGTATTGACAGCTATGACAGTTGTAGTATAGTGTGGTGGTGGCAGTGACAGTGGTGGTGGTGGTGGTGGTGGTGACATAATGTGGTACTTACATGGATGAAACAAATAATGAACTTAGGAAAGAAATGATGAAATGGTAGACTGGTCGCTGAAGTATCTGACTGTGAGAATAACCCTAGAATAGGACCACTGCTCTCACTTTGTTTCTGCCATCAAAATAGAGATTTCCGATCTGAATAGAATCATGAAGTGCAAGTCAAGGTCCACAATCAGCCTCCAAGGGCAGGGCAGGGAGAGGACCAGGGAAAGCTGGCCTGTGGGATTCCAACTGTGAGCCACCATACATTTCCTTACTTTAAAGAAATCTCAAGCTGTGGTGGCACACACCTGTAATCCCCATGGCTTGGGAGGCTGAGGCAAGAGCATCACGAGTTCAAAGCCAGCCTCAGCAACTTAGCAAGGCCCTAAGCAACTTAGAGAGACTTTGTCTCAAAATTAAAATAAGAATAATAATAAAAGGGTATGGGGATGTGGCTCAGTAGTTAAGTGCCCTTGAGTTCAATCCCTGGTGCCAAAAGAAAATTGTTAAAAAAGAAACTCACACTATCAGTGCTAATTAATCCTTGCCAAGATACACACTATCTATCCCAATCTCAAGGAAATAGGTGGAGCATCATTTTGGTGCAATTTAGACTTGTTTTGTCCTCATTTCTAATAATAAATATTATAATATTTAAAACTTCTTGAAGCATCTTTATTCTACACAGCCTAGTGGTCACATAGTTTTTGAGAACTATACAATAGTCTTTAAATTTAGCTATCATATAAGCAGAATGCATAAGTGGGTTTAAAATTTTTCTGGGAAAAATACTTATACACATTTATAATTTTCATAACCTTAACATGTTTAGAACAAGGGAACATATAATTTCCTCCAGCAAGACTCTATGCTTTTGTTGCTGTCTGCTTTGAGTCCTTGTGCTGTGGCTCTGACCTTCCTTGGGACAACATCGCTTCCCAGTGGTAGCTTAGTAAGGTATCAACGAATAACACACAGGCACAAGAGAGCATTAATGCTCTGTGAGGTCAGTACTGCAATTCCATGGTCTAGTCATATGGCCTTAAGTAAAACAAAAAAAAGGGGGGGGGCCATCCTAATTGGATCCTAATGACATATCATTTTTTTAGCACCATATTCAATTTTCTAGTAATGTATCTTTAAAATAATAATTTCATATTTCCTATGAAGTATTATCATTATTCAGAGGAGGATAATTTCCTCTTTGAAGCAATATAATCATACACATACTCTAGACTTTTCAAAAAGTATTGACTTTTATTATATTAGAGATATGCTCTTGTATACATCATTAGAAGCTAGAATACTGTCAAATTTAAGTATATTAGATCCTATTTCTGTTTAAAACCTCACATATTAATCATCAAAGACTCCTCACAGGATCAAAGTAAAATTTTGTAAGTCAAAGAATTGATCTATAATAATTAAATTGTTTCTGTCATTCATAATCTAAAGAAGTCAAAAATTGTGCTTGAATGAAAAAGGAGAAATAGCATCTTTTCATGTTTACTCTTTTCTATACTTTAAATATATACATCTAATAAAATAGGGGTTACATAAAGTAAGATTTGAGAAAGAATTATAGAATATTGGGGTTTTACACACTATTTCATTTAACAGCCATCATTTCAAAATTAATTCATGTCTTAACTTATTTTATATCTAAATCCTTAGTATCCACATCTAGAATATCAAAATAGAAGCCCACAGATATATTTTATGTGGCAACATGTTATGTTACTGCATCATTTTTCTAAAAAAATTAATGTAGTAACTAGGGAGGTTTGTGCTTAGCATTAAAACCAGCAATTTACCTATAATTTTTGACTTAGAATATCTATTCAGTGTGTGTGTGTGTGTGTGTGTGTGTGTGTGCATGTGTGTGTGTGTGTTTGTGTGTGTAAGAGTAGAGACCCAGATGGATTGCCTATGGTACACAGTTAGACAGTTACAGAACCTTTCAGAAAACCCAAGTATTCCAACTCCTAACTGGTTAATTACTTCAGTACCTGCTAGTATTTGGTGGCAACACTGTTGCTACTGTCAGTAGTATTAACAATGGAAATAACAATATATAGTTGCCACTTATTGGTTACCTGATATAGGCTAGGAGCTTTGCATATTATCTCATTAATTTACATCAACAGTATAAGGAATATCACTTTTTAATTTATGAAACTCAGTCTCAAGAGATTTGGAAATTTGTTTTTCTCATTCTCTCCACTCCACTGTCTCACAAAATAATATTGACACTTAGGTAGTGCTTACCATGTGCCCAGAAATATTTGACACATTAAGAAAAAGTGTTAAGGGCTGGAGGTGTAGCTCAGTGGTAGAGTGCTTGCCTGGAAAGCATGAGGCCCTGGGTTCAATTCCTAGCACCACCAAAGAAAAGAAATAGAAAGGCTTAATGTTCTAGTTTCTTAAAATGCTCCTACAAATTAATAAGAAATGATATAAAACCCAAAATAACCATGGGCAAAGCTTATGAATTAGCACATCTGAGAAAAAGAAATACCAAAGCAAATAAATAGTGAAAAAGATGTTCATCACAAAGGCAAATCAAAACAAAACAAAACAAAAACTCAAAAAGAAATGAATGAATATAAAGGATTCAAGAAAAGTGACAAATATCAAAGTATAGGCAATAGCCAGGAATGGTGGCACATGCCTATAATCCCAGCAGCTCGGGAGGCTGAAGCAGGAGGATCATGAGTTCAAAGCCAGCCTCAGCAACTTAGCAAGGCACTTAGCAACTCAGAGAGAGACTCTGTCTCTAAGTAAAAATAAATAAATAAATAAAGGGCTGGGGTGTTGCTCAGTGGTTAAGCACCCCTGGGTTCAATGCCTGGTACCCCCACCCAAAAAAAAAAAAAAGTACAGTCAATAGAAAGAAGCTCCTGAAGAAGAAAATCAAAGCAAAAGAAAAAAACCAGTAACAAGAGCATTGTTTTTTGTTGTTATTGTTGCTGTGGTTGATCTTCACTGCTGGGAATGCAGCCCAAGGGTCTTCCCTATACAAAGCAAGTGCTCTACCACTGAGCTATACTCTTACCCCTTAAACACAAAGCACTAATTTTTGTGTGTGTGCAAAAACGTTCCTGAAATGAGAAGATGACTTGAAACTACATTGGAAGAACACACCACATACTTGAGAATTGACTCAAAATAATCAATACCAGGACATATTCTAGTAAAATTATATTCTAGTTTTTAAAAATCCCACTTAAAGGAATTTTTTAAAAAATCTTTGAACCTCTACAAAAAAGAGCTAATGACTGGAAAAAGAATGAAAAGGAAATTGCCATCAGAATCTTTCTGTAACAATGGTTCAAACCAGAAGATGGGGTAACATTTTTAAAAACTCCAGGGGGAAAAAATGAACCAATGATTTTTATATCTAAAAAAAAACTGACTTTCAAATATAAAAGGCAGGGAAACGTGTTACAATGTTGTGTGGATGCAGAGAATGTTGTTCCTGTGAGTTTACCCTGGGCAATTTACTTGTCAATGAGATTTAGACAATCAAAACCACCAGACATAGTTCGTGGCAAACATTAAATACATAGAAATTTTTAGGATTAAAACTAAATGAAGGCTGGAGAGGAAACAGCATGTGGGTTTATATGGTGTCACAGTGTGCACAGCACAACTATTTTAAAATGAGGAAAGAACAGAGAGAGCAGATGCAAAATAATTTTTAGCTGCTTTCAATAATCAGATATGGACAATGATGATATTGTTATTCGGAGGTGGTTGTGTAAATATTGTGGAATAAAGCAAAGGAATAATTGTAGAATATTCCAATTCCATCATCTCCTGTGTTCTTGAAAACTTGAGTACTCAATAAAGATATAAGATTATAAAGATATAATATAAAAGATGTTATATTTTAAAAAACACTGAAATCTGAATTTAAATTATGTAGATCTGTTTCCTAAATCTATCTACTGAAAAGGCCTGAGATTAATAAGAGTGAATCTTCCTAGTGCCCAGATTCTGTTCTTGTAACACCAGGTCCACTTAAAAAAGAAAAGTTTTTTGGGGAAATATATGGGTCCCAGGACTGGGCAGCGAAGGTATAAGTTTGGAATACCTTATCACAGCAGATATCAAGCACATGATCAAAGACTTCTGGTTTCATGTTAATAGGAATCAAGAGTCAATGTTAGGTTCCCACTAGTCAAAGATTGAACAAATTTAAGTTCACTAAGAAAGTGGATTTAAAAGTATTGTGTTAGTCAACTTTCCATTACTGTAATAAATATCTGACATCAATCAACTTGAAGGAAGACAGGTTTATTTTAGCTCACAGATTTAGAGGCTTTGGGACCTTTGATGTGGCAAAATATTGTGGCAGGGACCATGTCACCAAGGAAGCTGCTCACTTACAGTAGCCAGGAATCAAAGCAGACAAAAGAAGAAGCTGGAGTCCCAACATCTCCTTCAAAGGCCAGACCTTACCTCCTCCCACCAGGCCCCACCTCTTAAAAGTTCAACCACCTCCCAAAAGAGCCACAGACTTGCAACCAAGCTTTTGTCACATGGCCTATAGGGGACACTTATTCAAACCATAACAACTATTAAATATTTTAAATCTGTAAGTTTATTTTGATTTTTTAAAAAATCAATTGATCAGGCTAGGGTTGTAGCTCAGTGGAAGAGCACTTGCCTAGCATTTGTGAGGCACTAGGTTCAATTCTCAGCACCATATATAAATAAATACAATAAAAGTCCATTGACAACTAAAAAAAAAATATTAAAAAAAATAAATTGGCCACCTTTGGAAGATAAAAGGGAACAGATTTATTATCTTAAAACTTTGTAAATACAGGGGAGTGGAAAATCAAGCATTTATTCTTCCATTTTCATATAAAAGCAACCATTAGGTAATTGGGTAATATAAGAGAGAAAACATTTCTTTATAAAAAAAAAATATTCCAACTAGTAACTGAAAAAGTTAACACTAAAATTTGAATATTGCCACTTTGCAACACCCGCTAGAGAATGAACGGATCTAGGCATTAAGCATAAATAATCTCTAACATAAAGAGGGGACAACCCAGACATAATGTGCCCTTTGATGAAAAAACACACACCAGGGCTGGGGTTATAGCTCAGTTGGTAGAGAGCTTGTCTCACATGCACAAAGCCCTGGGTTCAATCCCCAGCACCACACACACACACACACACACACACATATTCCACCTGAGTCAAATCAAGTCTCTGGCTCCTGCTTACAATTTTCTGGAAATACAAAAAACAGAACATGCCAAATTCCACCATTCATATGAATTTAGCAAAATCTAAACCTGAGAAGCTTTACTAGTCAAGGAACACAGACTCTTCAATAGGTAAGTTACAATCAAAAGAAATGTATGTTGAAGGTGAATTGATAGATGGATCTGATTCTTTTCAGTGGATAAGACTTAACTTAGGGTCTAAAGATACACAATTGGGTAAAAATAGTGTAAAGAAATACAATGACATTTGCAATAAAACTCAGGATGGTAGTTATCGTTGAAGGTGGGAGTTCTGATTAGGAGGGGGCATGTGAAGGGCTACTGGAAGCCTGGAAAAATTCTCTTTCTTGATCTGGGTAGCAGTTCCCAAGATGCTTGACTTTTTGTGATTGTGTTGTTATACCTTTATTCCATATGGTTTTCTGTATCTGTGTATAATAAAAGCTTGTCCATTCTTTCTTTCCCTCATTCCATTTGACAGTTGCAGATATCCATCTCTTTACCTCTAAATGGATGTCCATGTATTTCCTAAAGAACAAAGACGTACAGATAAAGATATAGATATATTTTAATATGCAAGCATAGAGTTTATTTTCCTTGAAAATATGCAGTGATTTTAATCAAATTAGAGGATATGAAAGTACTATATTTAAGTTGTAAAGACATCAAGAAATGCATATCTCTGTTTATATGCCTTAAAGTAATTGGTCACTTTTATTTGAAGTCTGAAGAAATTACCCATTACTGAAGCACATCTTCAGATAATACAAAAGAGGAGACAATGAAAAATTGTAACCATTTTCCACATGTGGCCTAAGCTGAATTACAGTTTAACCTATTAAATTCCCAATTACCCATATAAATTCAATATTTGGAAAAATAGAGACAAGAAGTCCTGGAAGGTAAATGAAAATTGCTTCCAAGTCTCTAGAAAATCAGCTACGAAGTAAAATATTGGCTGGAACATCTAGTTAAGGACTTTTTTTTCCTGCAAAAAAACCCAAGTTATATACAGAGGAATATCAATAAAAACTGATTCCTCAAAATGCAGAGGGAGGGCTCACGTCCAAGAGCTTTTAAAGTACTCATAAATAATTTGTGGACCATCTTAGCTTTTTTATAAAGAGTTGAAACCTGTAAATAGTTTCAAAATCTTGATAGTGCTTTTCACGATTTTAACATATCTGGGATTAGCCTATTTTTATGCAGAATGTATCTTGCCAGAGAATATAGGGCATGTTTCCATTACTTGCACTCAATTAAGCTTCAGTCAACACTGACACTATTGGAGAACCAGTCACTTCAAAAGGCACAGTAAAATACTACTTTCTAAAATGTGCATACTGAAAAGTTAACACTGAAATACATGAAAGCTGACCGTGGACCGATAAAATTGCTCTCTAAATTCGCGTTTATAAATAAGGAGGGGCTGGAGGTATAGCTCAGTGGTACAGCAGGTGCTTAGTATGTACGAGGCCCTGGGTTTCATTCCTAAGGTGGGGGGAGGAGGAGAGAAGGAAGGAGGGAGGGAAGGAAGGGAGAGAGGAAGAGAAGAATGCTTTGGAATAGGCTTCCCAGATATCATTTCCTCGCATTCTAAAAACAAAGCCCTCAAGGGAAAGAAAAATAACAACAACAACAAAAAAAAGGCAAACATATTAGCTAGGTGTCATTCAATTATAGTCTGTAATATAATGGAAATAAGTAGCGCACACCTGTAATCTCAGTGTCTCAGAAGGCTGAGGCAGGAGGATCCCAAGTCAAAGCCAGCCTCAGCAACTAAGAGAGGCCCTAAGCAATTTAGCAAAAGCCTGTCTCAAAATAAAAAAATGAAAAAAGCTGGGGATGTGGCTCAGTGGTTGAGTGCCGCTAGGTTCAATTCCTGGTACCAAAGGGGGAGGAGATTTACTTACACACACACACACACGCACACACACGAGAAAGAAAGTGCATTTCAGCTGAATACCATAAGACGCTGCTTTTTCTACTGGGAATGCAATTTGGAGATGCCCAGAGAGATCGGCCCTCCACCAGGTGGAGAACTAACCGCCAGGTGTTACCGCCCCTCTGCTCGCAGGTGAGCGAAATGGAAGTGAATGGGCAGTTCGAATCCGTGTGCGAATCCGTGTTCAGCGAGCTGGAGTCGCAGGCGGTGGAAGCGCTCGACCTGCCCATGCCCGGCTGCTTCCGCATGCGGAGCCACAGCTACGTGCGGGCCATCGAGAAGGGCTGCTCCCAGGACGACGAGTGCGTGTCCCTGAGGTCGTCCTCCCCGCCACGCACCACCACCACGGTGAGGACCATCCAAAGCAGCACGGGTGAGTGAGCCGGCCGCGCCCCCGCCAGCCTGGCCTCAGGCTAGGGCACAACTGTCCCCCAAGACAGTGCGCTCACTGTTGTCACACACAGTTGCCAATAAGAAAATACCACCCATGTCCCAGGACACAAAAGGTTTGCTTCCCTACCTGCTTCTATCCCCACCTCTGACCACACCCACACACCTCCCTCCCTCTCCATCCCCATCTCTGGGATCAACCCAGGAAACTAAAACTCTGGCACCATGAGGTGGGGACAGCACAGCATCCCAGGAGCCAGGAAATGGATCCCAACCGATTCCCACTCTCAATAAGAAGGCTCTGACTTTTAGGGCTGTGACTCTAAATGAATCAGATACCCTGCTTCTTGTGCATCACAGAATTAGATTTCTTTATATTATTCCAAGATAACCACAAAGTGGCTATCACAAAAGACCTGAAATGTCACTGTGAAGAAAAAAGGAAGAAATGGTGGGGCCACTAATATTAATTGAATGCTTTATGAGTTAACAACCAAAAGCAGATTTATCTCATCTTCTATCATATATAAATAATAGTTCCTTAACCCGCTAAATTGTATTTAGGTTTATGCATTTTAGCTGTATTTTTATCAGTAGATTTTTAGGTACAGAGGCACAGAAAAGCTTAACTATTTTCCACCACACTGGAACCTGCATAGTAATGTAGCCTTGAGTGGTGTATGATAATACAAATAAAAACAATTGCGTTCCAAGAAGAAAATCTCTCCCTCTTAACCAGATTTAACTTTCTGATTAAATTCAGCATAATTCAAATAGAGTAAATCCCCAAGAAGATCATCAAACTTGGAGTCAAGATTTTTAAAAATGATGAATAAATTAGAAAGAAAAGCCTGTATTAGAATACTGTAATATTTCATTTTAGTTCTAGGTGCATCAAATACCAATAATTATGATTCAGCCTAGAACTTTTGCAGGCTTGAGTAATAAGAGGTCATCAAACTCAAGTTAAAATCCTAACTATGCAACTAGAAATCTACAGGACTGAGGTAGAAAAATTTTTAAGCCATTAGAGGTTAAATGAGAGGAGTTCGTTTTTGACCACTGCCAACAAAGACCTCGGTGTTAGGAAAAGGGATGTTTCTAGACATTTGTGCAAGCTCAGAAGCTGTGACCCTCGCTGGCCACCTCCAGATCCAAGATAATGGATGTCCATTCCTGCTCATTAGGAAATACTCCAAAAACAGTCACAGATAACATTAACAAATTACATAAAACTTATTTACAAAGAGGAAAAATGTTTCAAGAAAAAAAATCAACCACGGGCATATTTATGTGTGTGTTTGCATTCATGCAGTACATGTGGCTTCGATGGTCTGCTCTGTGTCTTTTGGGGTCCCCACTCTGCCAACCTTTCCCCAGTGTCTGGTCCATTCCTCTCTATAATGATCTCATTGTCTGCCAGCTGAAATGGATCCTTAAATACAAAAAAAAAAAAAAAAAAAATACAGAGCCTGAGTGCCAAGGGGCACCCTCAGGAGAGCAGTCTGTAAGGGAAGGATCACTGGCTCATTCCTGCTTCCTCCGGGAATGGTGTTAGAGATCAAGTGGTGAAAGACTGAGTGGCTTTGCCCTCTTCACCTATCAAAGGATTTTGTATTTTTGTCATTAAGAGGCGATTTTACTTGTATTTCACGTATCAGTTCTTACTCCCCCAGCTTTCACACACCCACAACTCTGGACCCAAGACCCTTCCCAGATACTCTGGAGGCTCCTAGAGTTCAGACAACAGGGTGGCCAAACAAAATCTGGGTCACTTAGTTAGATTCTAACTTCAGATAAATAGTCAATAATTTTGAGCTGGGCACAGTGGCACACGCCTGTAATCCTAGCCTCTTGGGAGGCTGAGACAGGAGGATCACAAGTTCAGAGCCAGCCTCAGCAATGGAGAGGCACTAAGCAACTCCGTGAGACCCTATCTCTAAATAAAATACAAAATAGGGCTGAGGATGTGGCTCAGTGGTCGAGTGCCCCTGAGTTCAATCCCCGGTACCAAAAATAATAATAATCATTTTGTAGTATACCTCAAATCATGGATGGGAAATACGTATACAACAAAAGTGTTTGGAGTGTTTGTATCTGTGCTAAAATCCAACAGACTTATCAGAGAAAGAGATGAGTGGGGCCTGGCAGGGTGTCCTGTGTTGTTCCATTTAGAATCTGAATTGAATCTGAGAAACTTTATCTAGAGGCTTTATGTGGGAGAACACCCCAAACAAGGAGAACTGAATAAAAACCACACGGAGGAAACTGCACCCTCTCCTCCTTGGGCCCCTTGAGTCTTGTCCTAAGTACTGGGCAACCTCCCCTTGCTGCTTTCTGAGTAAGAAAGTTCCAGGCTCAGCTACTCCTGCAAGGATGTAAGTCAGGAAGATGTGACTTGCCCCTTGGGGTGGGAGGGTGAGGGATAACATGCCAGATTTTTACACAAGGCAGCTCTTGACTTGGCTCTTAATCATCAAACTAAACATTGTGAAATGTTATTTTTACAGTCATGGAAAAATAAAGTACTCAACCATTATGGTAGATTCTGAGTAGCCTATCAGATATTTAGGAGTGAAATTTTAAAAATTCACTCTCACCTTTCATAGTCTCTGTATCACAGACTTGAAAGAACACACTCACCTGTGGAAATCAGGAAACGGTGTTGCTCTAATTACTGATCTTGCCTACGTACACAGGTGAGGTATGCGTCTAGATAGAGCAGGATTTGGCGGGTTCTCCTTCTGCTTCTCTTCCTATGCTTATTAATCTTGGATATTCATAAGAGATTCATTTTTTTCCCCAAACTTGCCCGCGTTCTGAAAAAAAATTCTTCATTTTTCTTCAAGTGTTGTTTTTGATACAACTTTTCCCACAATCCCCACTCTATGACCTTGATTTTTTTGTCAGCTCATTCTAACTGTTGAAATTTTCAACACAGTGTACTTAATTATTAAGCCTTTCTCTTCCAGTCTTTGTTCATATTAGCAACCTGAAATCACAAAAGTCTGCAGAAGAGTCTGATGCCACATGAGAGTCTAAAGATAGGCTCAGCTCTAAGAGGCAACGGGGATCTTCTAGAGGATTATTAGCAGGAGATTGAGGATGAACAGAGACATCTCCAGCAATGGGGACAAATTAGGAAAGAGTGAGGGAGTGACTGATTGCTATGTTTCCTTTGACTTATTGACTTCTTGGCTTATCTATAATAGCATCTTATTTTTCTCAATCTGTAATCTATTTCAGTCATCCAAATCTCCCTCCGTCCAATAGATTCAGTAAGTTTTTTTTAATTAAGTTTTATTCTTAATCAATACATACATAATAACTGTACATGTTTATAGGGTAATACAGTGTGATATACACATGTACACTGTGTAGTGCTCAATCAGGGCAACTAGCATCTTCATCACCTCCAAAATATACCATTTCTTTGTGATGAGGATATTAAAAATCCTCTCTTCTATCTATTTTGAAATATGTAACACATTGTTTTTCACCAGTTATAGTCACCCCGTGGTACAACAGAATTCCAGAGCTGGTTCTTCCTATGTGTGTTCAGTGAAATAAGCCAGGCCCAGAGGAAGAAATACTGCATGATCGCACTCATGTGTGGGGTCCAAAACAGTTGATCTCATAGAAGTTGAGAGCAAAATAGAGACTAGGAAGAGCTGGGGAGACGTTGGTCAGCAGATACAAAGTTTCAACTAGTTTTTACATGAACCACTGTAGATTCAGATAAGAGCTACTGTAGGAAAGTGAAATGAAAAAAAATGGGGCAGTTATCCTCATGTATATGGAAAACATGCACCTTTGCCTCAGTCCTCTGAGTATTTTAGGTAAGAGTAGAACTTAGGTGCCCAAAATAAAACCAGACTCCCACTTCGGAGTACTAGATTAAATCTGCCCCTTACAGAATATACTAATGCAGTGATATCAGTTTAAGGGTGAGCTTTCTTTTTTGCTTCCTATGCTGAACATTTTCTAGAACTTATCAAAAGCATTATCATGTTGTAGCTAGGCAGATTGGCATCTAGTGATACCAGTAGCATAAACAGGCAGAAATATTGTACCATGGTTTTAAGAAGACATGTACCCAGAAAGATGGAGACACACACTTGTAAGTATATACAAAAAGCAATCAGAAAAGACACCTTACTAACCAGTAGTAAGTGGAGAGGGTTGGAGGGCATAAGAGAAGAAGGTTGGGGTTTTTTTGTTTGTTTGTTTATTTGTTTGTTGTTTTGTTTTGTTTTGTTTTTGTACCAGGGATTGAACCCAAGGGTGCTTAACCACTGAACCACATCCCCAGCCCTTTTTAGTTTTGATTTAGAGACAGGTTCTCATGAAGTTGCTTAGTGCCTCACTAAATTGCTAAGGCTAGCTTTGAACTCACAATCCTCCTGCCTCAGCCTCCTGGGCCACTGGGATTACAGGCATGTACCATCACGGCTAGTGAGAGGAAGATTTTCAAAAATAAGCACTTACTGCTTTTATGAGTTTAGATCCAATATAACATCTGAATAAAAATAATACTCTCACAGAAATAGTCAACTCTCATGAAAGTATGATTCTTGGGTCTTTTTGAGAAAAGTCTTCACTTTGAATTACAGGCTTTTCAAAGACGCTTTACATAGCAATAAAAATTCTTTATAAAACGTAGAAAGAATATGTAGGTTCATTGGCTACACTGTTATTGCTGCTAAAGTTTGACCTGTGTGGTCTGTCATTTCCTAATTAGGGGAACCTCTATAAAGATGATGGATTGAACTGGGTTCCTTTATGTAGCCCTTGAAGAAGGAGAGCAAGGACCTAGGGCATAGTACACTGTGGGAGAACACCAGTGATGTCCAGCCAGGGAGTCAACAGTTTGCCCTCCTTGGCATAAACCTGAGACCACAGTTACAGCCATATATGCAGTTTGGTTGTTCCAACAATAGAAATCATATTTTCCTCTAAATCGAGATATATTCTTCCCACACT